ACACCTTCTTCCTATCCATGGCTGCCTGTGGAAACATCCCAATGCTTCCAGATTTGCCCAAGGCACCCACACTACTATAATTTAACACCAGAGGCAACTTCAAAATGTTGAAAATTAACACTTCCTGAGATCCCTTTACAGCTTCAGTATAATCTGAATCAATACTGGGCCTTTTATCAAAGCAAAAATGTGCTGCCCAATGTGTAGAGTGTAATCAATAATGTATGCACAAGGCCAAAACACAGTGTTTAATTATTCTTACCCAGTCCAGAAGTCAGCTGGTACTTGCTGTCATCAGTTTCACAGTAAACATTGCCATCTTCGACTTGAATTTGAAAGCATCTTCTTCAGCACTAGAAGTGGGACGACATTGTATTTTCCAGTTTAACCTCTTCTTGCAAGTTATAGACCACTATGGCGCAAGAGCTTAGAGAGAAAATAGTTAATTCTTATAACCCAGTGTAAAAGTCTCAACAGATTCTCGCTTATTCTGAGATGCTGGGATAACTGATTGTTCCTTTTCAAACTTAAATACATTACCTGCAGACCATATGCAATCACTTTGATCTGACTAGGGAACTAAGGAACTCTCACGTCTGCAGAGCCTCTTCCTGAAACACAGGAAAGTTACTCAACATTTGCACAGAAAACAGGTCCACCTGACAAACAAATCTTGGGACTTGGAAATTAGAGCTTTCCAATGCAGCATGCATAGTCTAGACACAGAAACATGGCGTTTCTTTAAATTGCTGGGACTTCCATGCGTTTCCTTGTCAAGCTGAACAGCAGTCATCATTGATCCGTGCATACCGCAGGCACACGCTGCTCTGAAACTGGTTTTTAAATTAGCTTTCTTTGGGGCGGGAGAGTGTACACAGTGTACAGGAGGGGACAAAATCACTGAGAAGAGGGAAGGCTTTTTTGAAATCTACTGTCAGTCAAAACCAAATCAACATTGCAGACCAGATCCCAGGTTCATTTAAATGCATCAGTGAAGTTAATATAATTTATTCCAGATGAGGATTTGTTGTTTGAATTTTGAACCACTTTGATAAGACATGTCTAAGTAACAGTCTTTTACACTGTTGATGCTAGCAGCATTTGTGAGAAGGCTAAGTTTATTTTGCTGCATTTGAGCGAGTCATCCACATAAGCTGGTTATAGCTCCCCAAAACTCTATTTCAGAGACACCAAACAGAATCCTTCCTCTTGTCTAATCTCCTGTGATCATAGACCACGCAGTATCTGCGAGGACAGCCAGCGACTGCTTTCTGAAAAGCCGTTTTATCACTATTTCATTTTACAGCAAAACGCGATCACTCAACTCTGCCAAGCTTCCTGGGCCTGCAGAGTGCCCAGCCAAGTGAAAACCCAGACAAAAGCACAAGCCCAGTGAAAAACCTTGCCATGCCCCATATGGATTGAAGAACAGAAAAAGAGAAATGGTAGATACGTAAAAAGGGAAGGTGCTTGTTTACAGGATATGCAGTCATTTATATTTAGCAGCTAAATGTTCCATGCTGCTGGTGAAAGACAATGAGGGAAGTAAAGCAGCCATCAGATAGGTTAACCACCAACTTTAATCTACAGTTTCAGTATTGCTGGGCAGCTGTTTCTGGGAAACTATGCTAGGATGCAAAATAGGCAAGAAAACCCCTAATTGTTTGTTACCTCATCCCAAAGAACACGAAACAAGTATTGCTGCCTTTCGGATGAATAAGATCTACTAAAAGCTAATACTGGAGCTCACTTTGTGCCTTGATAAATGCCCCTTAAACTGATGACTTGATTGTCTTTTTTTGAACAAGCCAAATAAATGAAGAAAGATACTCTATTAATTTCAGAGCTGGATTGAAAACAATGTAACATAGTTCTTTCAGAATAAAACAACACCTTTAGCTTTATCATTTCACAGCAGCTCTTTTCCATTAATCGCCAAAATGCTGGAAATCCAGTGTCCTGTACAAGAAGCAAAAGATCTCCTTCTCCTTTCCTAAACCATTCCAAAAAAATCCTGACATTTACACCACCTTCCGAGCTACTCAATTACGTATTATTGAGCCATTCCTGCAACTGATTTATTGGAAGGACGACTGGAGCAACAAAACTTCGTAGACATAAGAAACCTTTCTTTATATTTCGTGTGGCTCTCGGAGACAAATATGCCACATACACCTCTGGGTTCATGAAAAATGTGTTTGTATAGAAGGTTGGTCTGAACTGATATGTTATTTTCAAAAACTATGCAGATTCAACAAAAACCCCATGTAATGATCAGAGAAAGCATTGGAGGAGTCTGTACTACATTCATCTGTTCTATATGAATACAATAGCTAAAACACAATAAAATTTCCCCTCTTATGCATATGCAATTATTTGTGGGAGTAAGTATACATCTGAAAGATATTACAGACAGAAATGATAGCACAAAAAGTAGAGGTTAAAACTAAGAAGTAAGCACTTTATAGCCAAATGCCTGTAAAGTTTAATTGAATTGTTTCTTATACCATTTCCAATGCTGCGTAGATTTTTAGACATGCTTTGCATTGTTCCATAGACAGCAATGGAGATATTCCAATAAGTTAAGCATATGCATCCGTCCTTGCAGGATCTTTTGCCTTCCAACGCTAAAGACTGATCACCATCTCCCTCATCCCACTGACCAATACAATGAGTTTCTCAGTTGCAACTCTTCATTCAATGGGTCATTTCAATAAAATATTCTAGTTTCATCAACAGAAAGTAAGAATGAGGCTGACTACAGCTTCATATAACCAGCACCCTGATTCTGACAGTAATCAAACCCATGTGCCTAGGGGAGAGCACTGCATGAGAGAAAACATTTACTGATGCTTTCCCCAGAGCGCTCCCAAGTCCCATCAATTTGCCAGCCAGGGACCAACTGAGGTTTAGAATTTGAGTGCACAGCTATAAAACTAAATGGGGAGAATGCAGATTTTGGAAGCTGAGGGACCCCTGCTTCGCTTAGCTGACTGCAATTTTGGCATGCCTGTTTATCATCATGTGAACTAGACTGCCATCGTCTCAGGCCTTCTTTTGTGTTTGTAAGTTTACAAAAAAAAAAAAAAAGGTGCCGCTTATTTCCTTGACGTGGCAGAATACATGAATTAACCAGGATTCAAGGAAGTCTGAAGTGATTCTTCCCTGTATTCTTAAAAGATGTGCATTCAGATGCTATGAAAGATTCACCTCCCAGGATCATGTTCTCAACCTTCATATCACTGAATTCATTTGTGTGAACGACACACAAATGTACCAAGAACAGGAAAGAATAATCCAAAGCCTGAATAATGCCTCAAAAAGGATGAGGGTTAGCTCACTCCAATACAATGCAGTTCCAGCTATGGTCAACAGAGACTGTTCCTTCAGCTTCACCTGGACAACAGTCATGTTGCTGACTCTGACCGAGGGAGTGAGATCCCCATCTCTAACACCATTAGCTGTTTCATTTTAGTCTTTAGGTCGAGCATTTTCATGCTGTATTGAACAAGAGCAGGGCTCTGGGATCTCCAATGGATTTGTATTGGTTTTCCAGACAAGGTTTAAGTTCCTGGCTTTAAACTATAAAAGCTTTTGATGATTTGGAGCTTAGTCATAAAGCAGAGAGTTCCCAGGCAGGTTTGTTGCCATGTCCCCCAAAAGTGGAAAGACATGCTGAAAAGAAAAGCAAACAAAGGTGCTGCATGAGAACCGTGACACAAATGCCCATGGGTACCATCATGTGTTAACATTGCAGGTACACCATAAATATTTTTGTATCTTTTTTTTTTTAAAAAAAAAAAGAAGGTGAACCGAGGAATATAAAATCACTAGTCGTGTATTTTGACATACTTTGTTCTAAAAAAAGAACAAAATGAAGAAAAATTGCAAAAAACGTGCTAAAGTTTTTTTCTTGGTTAATAAAAATAGAAAATGAAAGATGTATTAAGATGCATTAATTTTGTTTTGGTTTACCATTCTCCCTTCCCATTTCTCTCTTGGTAACAAAGAAGAACAACCAAGTAAAGAAAAACTTTTTTTTTAAAAAAAAAAACAAACCCCAAACCAAAAAACCAGCACCAATAACCACAAAAAAACCCAAACACCTCAAACCAGAAATATTACAAATGAGTAAATTTTCAAGGCAAGCATTCCACATCATCACATTTTCAAGGAAGCTTGGGGGCAGAAATAACACACACTGAAAATAATTCCTTTTCATGAACTATATGATAAAAATTACTCTGCAAGAAACCGTTTTCATGCTAACTGATCGGAGGAGGCAGGTAGGGAGGAGGGGGAAGATGCAAGTCTTACGAAATTACATACTCGGTTTCTAATTTTTAGCATCATGGACTTCAGGTATATGATTTATTATACGAATGTAAAAAAACCCAAAACTACTCAAACCCCAAACAAGGAAAAAACCAAATCCTTTTCTGTAGGTAAGAAAAATACCTGCTGATGCAGATCACTAATTTTCAACAACGCTAACAAACTCTGGCTGTACGGAGTAGCTCTTTCTTTCTACCAATATCAGAAAACGTAGAAGGTTGAAGAGGAAACAAAAGTTAAACCAAACCATTTAAAAATACAGTATTGTGACAGATTTTATTTCACTTTTATCGGTACTACATGCTTACTACCACTAGAAACAGACATGCCTTTTTTTTTTTTTAAAAAAAACCCCTATATTAAATGTTGACCTAAAGCTTGCTGTGCCTTGGAAATCTGGCTCAGGAGTTAACTGCATGAATTTTTATTTAAATAGATAAGCACTCAAGTTTGAAAATCAGACAAATAAAGGTGAACAGGATAATTAAATTACAAATTCAGTTCATACAAATTTCTCTTATTTTATGCACTAAAGCCTGTTAATTAGCTGAGATCTTTTAAAAATTCTTAAAATACTTATGAAACATTATTTACAAATTATATAAATAAATCCTAGATCACTTTTAAATTAACCAATACAACAAAAAAGTCACCTTTTTGTACTATGTGTACTAAAAATGTTCTTGTTTATTGATCATAACCCAGTTTGCAGTATAAAACGTTTGTGCACTTACATCAAAATGGGTTCAAATAGAAGGAAGGAAGGTATTGGTTTCAAAGGAAAACAAAACAATATTATAAATGCTTAAAATCAATGAGGCTTCTTAATGTTCTTTTCTGCAAAGTTTGCAGTCATTTTTAGAAGTCCCTTCTACAGTATTTGTCTTGTGAACAGGTGATCTCAAAATAGCAGAGACATAGTTTCAGCAAAGGGAAAATATTCAGCACATTGCTCACACTTCACACAGACCTTTTACCAGGAGGGAAAGGATAGAGAATGGAATGTCAGTGGCCAGCACAAGCCTTTACAACATTTAACTTAAAAGGCAGCATTTATAGAACTAATCACGGACTATACACATCCTGCACTGAACAGCGATCAAAAGGACTGGAAAATATACATTTAGGAAAACAAGAGACCGATGTTTTTCCATTACCTTTGTTAAAATTAATGCTTTTCTCCCTGTCTTTTGTTTTAAGACCAGCATTGACACCACCACCAACTACAACTACCTTTTCCTTTAACATAATATATGCTAGGTAACTCCTGTACGTGAGAAATGTACAATAAAAAGAGAGAAACCACTGAATTTCCTATGCAGACACACGAAAATATAAAGCCATACAGATTCCAAAGTGCCATGAATACCAAATTCATGTGATAGTTTATAGCATGTAGGAAAGAAACTAAATGGAACTTGCTCTATGGGTTGCTGAGCCCTTCAGCTGTATCTTCAGTTTCCCCTTTGGCTGCTTTGGTGAGAATTTCCATCCATTTCATCTGCAGTTCTTCATCTTCTGCACTGAAATATAGAGTTTGCTGGGACTGGCAAAGCTTAAAAACATGTTTCACTTCAAACTTCTCACCGGAACCTGGTAAACTGACTTCGTATCCAGGCAGAGGAATAGGACGTGGGCTCCGTCCATCCTAAAGAAGAAAGAACAAATGTAAAAATTCAGCAACAGGTGGTATTTGAAATGGGAGGAGCGGGGGTATACTGCATAGGAAAGAAAGATTTCCTCAATGTGATTAAAGAAATGCCTGTTTCAAACAGTTTAAAACTTACTTTCAAGTAGTAAGATGTGATTGAAGACGCATCACCGTACACCTGAGACGTGGTCATCAGGCACACACTCAGGCTAGGCACCCACACCACATCTCTCACTGAACCGGCGTGTCTCGGTGCGTGCCGCTTGCTGACAACCCCTCCGTGCTAGAGCCCCAGCCTGCCATCCCTGCCCGCAGAGCGAACACAGACACACACACTTCAGTAAGCACACGAATGCCATTCCAGAGTACATCGGCATTCAGTTCCTCCTGCAGTACTGCAGTGTAGACCGCTTAACTGCGACCACTTAACTTCCAACAATAAAAGGCAATGATTTATCGGTGCTTTATTCTTATTTAACAGATTCCCTTTTGCAGTAAGAATACAGATCCAGCAGCAGCATGGCTGGGGATTTTAATATAATTTCACGTAGCTTACACATACTGTCTTCTACAAAAAAACCCTTGCATGAGTTACAGGCAATCAGATCCAGCTGAGCATAGCTCGGTATAATCCCTTTTGAACCTCATGCAACATTTGTAAGATTGGTTAAAAGGAGACAAATAAGCAGAGCTGGACACTGAGAGACACAAAGACAACTACCAGGGAAAAGACTTGGAAATAAAAGAGAATTTCAGATTTTAAATCAATCAGTGAATCTTCTCAAAAGGTCTTGGGTTATTTATGAAGCCTCTCAGAGTTCTCAAGGAAGTCGAAGCTCAGATTCTTGAACATCCTTTAAAGGTCAGATCAGCTCACAGATCTAAGGAGAAACACAGCTCTCTACAGTCACATCCTGAGCATCAACCAACTCCTCTGCTAAGCTCTCAGGAAAGGCATACTTTAGCAAGGCAGGGTGTGCCATGACCAAGCAATTAGTTTCAATTGATGCCAGCAAAGCATTTTCAAAGGCAGGTCCCCAAACTGAAGTCTAAACCACACAGGCATCAAGCATCTGTAAGAAGCTGTCACCTCTTGTAGCAGCTCCTTGCACAGCAGCCTCATACCAAGGTTAACAAGGCATCCCACAAAGAGGTGGCAAAGTCATTCTTTTGTCACCCCATGCTGAATGCAGATGACTTAGTAAACTTGGAAGGAGACCACAGCTCTGAGAACAACAGCAAAAAAGAAAATCTACTTTTCTAACAATTAGACTAAAGTAATTCAAGTTTCAGAACTGCTCGTGTAGATGCAGACACGTACATTAACTAAAGGGTCAAAAAATACACAGTCAAAAACATGTCTACACACTTCATTAAGTCAATACAGGCTTCCCATTTTATTAATCTACTACTTGTTATTGTTATGCAAAAATGCCAGAGTCCATCCGCTTGAAGACCAAGTGCTATTCAAGGAGATTTACAGCAGCTTTACGTCAAACACTAATGAATTCAGTTCCTATTGGAGTGTAAGTAGTTGTCTTAAAAGCAGCATACAGTTTCTAGATCCTGACACCACAGGTGCATCAGTATAAACAGGGAGGTCTTGCACATGCTGAAGTTTGAACTGGCACGTACAGAGTAGCTCTGGACCTGCATACATGGCAGTGCTAAGGCAAGCAAATATGAGACTGATGAACACAAAATACCTAAGAGTACATGCAAGCTCAACCATGCCTGCTTCGCTGATCTTGTTTTAGAAAAATAGACACTAAGACTTGTCACATGTAAAATTGGAGGTTGCGCATGACAATGAAAAATGATATCGTTTGTAGCCAAGAAGTGCAGGGTAAGAACAAAACTGATACTTGAATTGTACATGCTACACCTACCCAACATGTGCAGACACAAGCAAATTAAGCAGACTGCCTTTGGTCTGGCTTCCTCCCTTTTCTTAGTATGATGCCTTTGCCAGTTTCTCTGTACCTGCCTGATCCAAAAGCAATGGATTTAAATTATCTCTGAAACACTACCCTACCGACAGATAAAGGTGAAGCACTCAGCCTCGAGTCATACCACACCCTCAAACTAGATCCCTCTGCAGCACCATGAGCATCTCTGGATTTTCTCTGCCCCTGAACCCTTCCCCTCCTAACTGAAGTCCAGCAAATCCAGGGGCTATTCTGCACCCAGGAGGAATTTGGGCCCTACACCAAGCACAGAAGTAGAATTTACAGGCCTTACAGAGAGATAAATTTCATATTCCATTTTTAAGAGCCTACAGGACCTGGCTGGTCAAATTAGGGTTTTTTTTGTGTAAATATTTCTGTATGCAACATACTCAGGCTGCATGATAATCAGTATTTCATCAAACCAAACTACCCAGTGCTGGGAAGAGCTTCACTTTAGGGTTGATTTCAATCATTTTCCTGAGATAGCGAGTGATACACAGAAATCTACTGGATGTGTAATACTGTCAGTAATCACAAGCATTGTGCATTCATCCTGACTCTAAGCAGCACAATACTAATGGGATATTTATCTAGGTAATTACAGCAGCATTTATGTATTGCTCTATTACAGCCATTACAACACCCAGCATTTGAGGTTTGGGAATAGATAGCTCATTTCCACCACACAGGCAGTTCTGTTTCATGCAACCCTCCATACAGACATCTCTCTTGCACTGCACATCTCTTCGCAGCATCTAAGCTCTCTTACGCAAATATACAGAACAACAGCTACCCACTGATGGACCATTATCATTTTCCCTTCCTGTTTTAGAGTGGGCTTAGAGAAATGCCTGTTTTTTCCCACCCAAACTCCACTCTCCACCCATTTACGCTCTAATCCCAACCTTGCACAAATCATTGAGAGACTCCTGCAATGCAATGGCGTGCCAAGATGCAAAGCTCTGAAGGACCATGAGAAAGGACAGGCAGAGTTTCATGCAGGGTCAACTAAAACTTCACCTAAACAGGGTCAACAGACAAGCCACAAAAATACTTCTCTAAAGCTCTGAGCTCAGCTTCAAACTCAGCTACTCCCTTATTTTCTAGGAGCAAATTGCATTCACATGATGAATAAAACAACTTTCTTCAGAATTTACAAAGCAAAATTTTCTCTTGGATCAAAGTTGATAATTATTATATACACTAACTCTCACTATACTAGATTTACCCTCCGTATTTCTCCAAAATTCATTACTTCTCTAGCTAGCTGGGACTCCCTAATTCTGCATTTATCAATCAGGTGCACGTTAATGTCAGAGCTGTGGAGGTAGTTGTCCTTGGAAAGACAAATCTCTATAGAACTGCTGATCCTTAAGCTTGAGGTGGTCTTTATAAGCAAACTCTTATAATTCCACTCAGATAAACATGACAAACAGCCGCATAAACTCTGTTTCAGATTGAGGACAGATAGAATTGGTATGATTTCCATACCTAAATAAGCTGTGAAATTCATCCTCATGTGTAAAGCCTTATGCAAGACTTAAACTGTGGCCACTCTGGGGATTAATTCATTCTCCTGGAACAAGGATCGAAAGCAAAAGAGCCGTTTTCTTGCTATTTTAAAGCCTGTGAGTTGTATTTCCATCTGCACTGGCATCCCTTCTCTGGTGTGAGGGCTGGGGGTGCAGAGGATGAAAGCTGTCAGGGCTCTTACTGTATCAGAAGCTCCAGATTCAGCTTGGTTTACTCCTTCTTCCCAAGACGTGGCTATTCTTTCTGTTCTTTTTAAAAATAATCCCCCAACTTTCAAACTCCTACAGCTATGCTTCACTTGGTCTGTGTTTCAAGATCTTTAATGCCATTGTTGGCAATATTATTCCCAAAAGGCACCTCTTTTTTTAGGCACTGAAATGCTTCTTTGTAGGCCGGAAGAGGTTTGTGAGATGCATCGAGGTGGTTGTATGAAACAAAACAATGCCTGGGAAAATAACATTCAAGCACATGAGCAGTTCCCGACTGATTCCAAACACTTAGCCACCAGGAAAGAAGCTCTGGAAGAGATTTTTCTCAGAAGTCTAGTGTATACAATGTAAACCAGAACTAACAAGAATGTTGGGTTAATATCAAGGAAGAGGATTTGCTTTGTAATTTTTTCCTTCAGTTGGATGCAAACTGAAGGAAGTATATGAGTGGGAATGGTAGGCCCTTGAAGAAGGGATTCATTTTTGTTGTTTATAGTCTCAGCCTGCAACTGGTGATCCCCAATAGTAAATCCTGGCTTGGTTATTGAATGTAAGATAGATCAACCTTGTCCTGTATGACTTCTTGCCACTTCATTGGGAGATTTACCTCACACCTGAAATACCTGAGGACACTAACCACTAAATTTAACTGTCCTAAAATCGACAGTCACTGTCAAAAGCACACCTTTCCCCTAAAAAATAGGATCTTACTAATAATATCAACAGATGCTCAAGATCAAATTTGGCAGGAGGTGGAGCAAAGAACGTAACATCTGAAGCACAGAAGCTCCTCCAGCTTCCAATCCTGGCTTTGCATGACTGTCAGGAGGGGGCCTGGAGCGTCAAGCAGCATTCTGCTGTGCACTAAATACAGCTGATTTATGTCCCATGTGTTATTATTTGTGCCGTCCTGCGACAATCAGTTGGGCACTAGGAGAAATCATCTTTCTAGGTCATACCATGTAAGAGGAGTTGCTTCCTCTCAACTCCTTGTTCCAGTCATCTCTTAGATGACAAATGTTGCTCCTGGGTGAGGAAGGCCAAAGAATTTAGAGCTCTCTCCCTCTATTCCCACTCTCCCACAGCTTGCCTGTTTGAGACACTCTGGCTTGGCTTGTATGGGATATGGGGCTTGCACTGGCCCTTTGCTGAGGCACAGCATTCATGTCAGTTGAAAAGCTACGCAGCGAAGTCATTCTCTCTGCTTTGCTTTTTAAAGCTTTTTTCCTTTCCCCAGACTCTGACTCCACAGACATCTAAAGATTGGGTTTGTTGCATTCGTTTTAGTGCTTTGTCTGAGACCATTTGCTTTTTCAACTTGTGATTTCAGTCATGCATCTCCTGTTGACTAGGAGGGAAGCCAGGCAGCTCACTGCCCGTGGGATGAATTGGAAGCTTACCCAGTGTGAGGTCTGAATCCCAGCCAAAGCCAAGTGGGCTGTGTTTGGAGCTCCGAATTCAAGCTTTCAATCTCTCGAGCATTATTCTTAAAACACTACACATTTGTTTAAAACCAGAGGTGTTCTTGCTGACAAGCAGCAAAATGAACACACCTCTGAGGACAACGCATACACTTGCTAAGGGGTAAGCTTTACTTTGAATAGTTTTATAAAATCACGAGTAATATTTAGTTCCCAGATTGTTCCTAGCTACAGCCATATGAACTGATGCTACTAAAAAGCAAACCCTTCATATCACTACGATTACAGCTGGGTAATGGTAGGCTGGATTCCGACCCATTTCTTCTTCCATCCCACCTGGGAGATAAAATAAAGCTGTATATAAACATGTCAAATGCCAAATACAAAATTGGATATGGGGGATCTCATTTTAGCATTGTCATTCTTTATCTTCAGCACTAAAAAAGCATGACTGATATTACAATTTTGGATATTCTACCTCAGATACAGATTTTTCTGTCACTTGAGATTCATCACACACAGGTGCTAGTTAGCTTCAACAGCACACTTTAAAAAAAGATAATAATGCTTACCACAGTAATTATTTCAAGTAAAGATAAAATCACATGATGTTACAACAAGGAGTTTTACCAAACTCAGTCCATTTTTCAGGCTGAAGAACATCTACATTTCCACTAATTCCTCCACCCTCTCAACCCAGAACTAGGTTTTAAAAAAAAGAAAAGCTTGAACCAGCAATTGCAATATTCCAACTGCTTCACAGCTCTTTTTTTTTTACAGGAAAGTGCTTTGACTAATGACCAGATAATAAAACCTTTGAGTATACCTGTGTGAAACCTCTCAAAAACCCAAACCATAACCAAATTATCTTTGTTTTGTCCTTTTCTGATAAAAAATGGAAAAGAAAAACTATGAGCTTAAATATTTGCTGACAACCATATCAGCAGTAACTACAGATAACAAGGGAATCTGAAATCTCTGAGGCTTTGTGCTATATTCAGCATACCAAGTTCATTTTTGTTTTTGAAACCAAGCCAAATCCTTTGACCTATTTCTCAGCTTGACATATTTAAAGTTATGCTTTTTTTTTTTTCCCCCCAGTGTGTTAACCCTCATGAATACTATTTTACCTGGCTACCTCCTTGCAGATACAGAACAAGAGGTTCGGTCTTGGGGATGGTCACCCACATTTTGTACCAAATCTTCCCTTTTTCAAGGAACTGGAGGTAGCTGCTGAAGAGGCTGTTTTCAGCTGCTAAGATGCTTTGCTTCTGGATGAAGGGGAAAAAAAAAAAAAAAAAGGAAAAGAAAAGAAGAGCTGTTTCCATTGGTGCTTACGTGGGCAAAATACTTAGAATTAAGTATAACACATACTTAATTTAAGTTGTCCAGAGTGAAATAATACTGTAGGGCAAACTCTGGATAGCCCATAACCGAACAAAAGTTTAATCATTATTATATACCATCAAGAAATAGTACAACTCCATGTAATAGAGGCAGATGCTGAACTATTGTTCCCAGTGGACATGAAGTTAAATACCACCTCCACCAAGTACATTGAGAATGGTAATTAAGATGATGCAGCTAGTTTCTTGCTTAGCAAAGTAGGCTGGGAGATGGTTTCAAATTAATGCAAAAGGCATATTAACAGCCACTCTTGTGCATGGATGCAGAGAGATGTGAGCCAAATCAGTGAGCACTAGGGCAAGAAAAGACTTAAAGAAATTTTTGTCTTCTGGTGGAAAGCAAAGAAAAACAAAATTCCTGTTCACATTAGACTTTGCACAGAAATCTCCTACAGATTTCTGCCACTCTACAAATGTTATTAGCAGATGCCAATCTCCTCAGCTGCTCTTAAGCTTGTTAAGAAAGTTTAATGTAAATAGGAGGGAAAGAAAAAGACTGGCTCTGATCTTTCTCTTTTGTACACCTACTTTCCTGCATTTTACCTGATCCTTTGAAGATTTAGCAGAAGGCTAGAAGCCTGAGTGTGTAAGGGAAAATTTACTCTTTTCCTTTAGTTTTTACAGCTTTCTGCTGTAACCTGCTTTCTAAAGTAAAGTCATAGGTCACATTTCACTGGTATGCCTTTTGGCTTTTCAGATTAACAGAGCTCTCGGCTGCGTAGGTGTAGATTTTCACTTTACTGGCAAACAGCTCTGCTGCAACAGTGCTAGAAAGTTTATCATAAGATACCACAGACTGTACTGATGCCTATTAAGTGCTCATCATCTGTAGGCATAGCTGTAATGTACATCTGAAGTCTTTGATGGTATGAAGCTCCAGATCCAGAATCTTCTCTCAGTGCTGCAGACAAGGTAGTTCAGAGAAGGGCAATGTGCATTTGTAGATTTCTGAGATTCTGGACATGTTTGGGTACAAAGCTGACAAAGCAGCTGAGCAGCAGAGTTCACTGTGAGACACCGTGCTGGTGTAATTTTACCTGTGTAGGTACATTTAGTAGCCTGGAAAGAAATATGACATGCTCGGAAGCAAAGCGGAGCGAGATCCAAGAAGACTGTTTGAGGAAGCATTTATTATCTGGACATGCACTGGCAGATTTATGTTTCTTGCTCAGAGTCTACCTCTTTTCCACGTAGTTTGGTTCTGATGAGTATAACAAGGCTGGGAGGCAGTCTGATGGCTCTGAGGGGTGGCTTCCAGAAAGATGTTTTTCAAGGTAAGATGTTTTTCAGTATAGGCTGCAACTGTTCCTCAATTTTCCACACAGCGCTCAAAGCAGTATGGTGTAGGTCAGCATATCAGGGGAAAGATGATTTGCAATGAAGTTATTTTTTTAGTGTGTCAGTGGCTCTTTCAAGAATCTGATGTCCCTGTGGGTCCGCTTGCAATTGAGATGAATGTCCTGTTTTACACATGTGGTGACTTCTGGCTGTATTTCACAGGTAAAATAAACACACACCTTTTCTTCAAGGTGGCCCATGATAAACGCGGCACGTAACGGTACTCACAGCTCTGCCCGTAGTCTAAAAAAAGCATTGGTAAGAGAAGGTTCAGTTGTTGTGGATGAGGATAAAACAAATCAGTTTGCCAACACGTTTCTTGTTCTTGTAAAAAATAAGGGTAGGATGTACCGCTAGCATGGTATAACGCTTGGTGACATCTGCAGCAATTGTGAAGCAGTAGTTTACAAAGTATAATTTGTGGAAGTCACGTCTTGGAGAAAAGATTCTGTATTATAGCAGGTTCGAGAAAGTTTCAGTGAATCCTGATAGTCCTTCAGAAGGATGCAATGCTTTTGCACAATCAACTAAGAAAAAATTCGTTTCAATGATATTTTGACAGGACATGAAATAAGGAGTGCAAAAGTATTTTCTATATGGAGTGAACAAACAAATCTTATTTTGCCAAGTTTTGCCAATAGTTATTGTGCACAACTCAAGATTTGAAATGCACCATAATAAAAGAAGCCCGAAGTTTTTCCTCTTTTTTGTTACTTTGAAAGCTGAAGTTTAGCTGCAAGATCTATGTGCATCCCTGTACGATCAGCATCCTATGATGAACGCTCAACATTTACAAAGAGCATTCAGGCTCATGCACATTCAATACAAGTTATAGGCCAGAGGGTCAAATATCATGATGGGGGACAAAAAGATAACCAAACAATTTCATTTGTTTTAAATAAATACATTTTTTTTAAAAAAAAAAAAAGAGGAGGTCAGAGAGACTCACAAGGGCAAATAGCACACCAAAAGTTTCTTAGCTAAATACTGTACCTCTGCAGCTAGTCTTTTCTTTTGTTCTCCAACTGCTTCCACTCCAGGGCTGCATGGGCTTGCTGGTAACTGCAGAAAACACTCTTTACACACTCGATTATGACGGCTATTATCTGCGAGTGGTTTAAACTCGGAGCATTTTGCACAGATCACCTGTGATAAAGATAGTGATTTATTAGCCATCATTAAAACATAACCCTTCTCCAAAGAAAGTGACTTGCAGACTGCAGATTGGTTGTTATTAAAGCAAAATCAGGAAAACTAAGATAGAGTGACCAATATAATATTTACTTTATTTACCTCCATTAATAACTCATGTTTTTGTTATCCCATGCTTTGTACCAATATACCTAATTAAAGAAAACATACACCTTTTGGGAAATACTTTATGATTAACATCATGCAAGTTTGCTTTTCTTTTCTTATAAGCCTTTAGGAGTCAAAAAGCGCTTAGGTTGACAAAGCAATTACTGCTTTTTAATGCCAATCGTAAAATGGTCTAGGAAGGACTGATTTTCAGAGTAAAGGTGGCTGACGGGCCCAGAGAATTGTGGTCAATGGAGCTAAATCCAGTTGGTGGCCAGATACTAGCGGTGTTCCCCAGGGCTCAGTTTTTGGGCTGGTGCTGTTTAACATCTTTATAGATGATCTGGATGAGGGGATAGAGTGCACCCTCAGTAACTTTGCAGATGACACCAAGCTGGGTTGGAGTGTTGATCTGCTGGAGGGTAGGGAGGCTCTACAGAGGGATCTGGACAGATGGACTGAGACCAACGGCATGAGGTTCAACAAAAACAAGTGCCAGGTCCTGTACTTCGGCCACAAAAACCCCAGGCAGTGTTATAGGCTGGGGGAAGAGTGGT